TAAAAATGCTCTAAATCATTATTGATTAGAGAAAGACAAATTAAAGCAACTCTCAAATACCACCTCATACCTTTCAGAAATTACAAATGCTGGAGAGGATATGGAAAAACAGATACACTAATGAACTGCTGGAGGAGTAGTAAACTAGTCTGGCCATTCTGCAGAACAATTTGGAACTATGCCCAAAGGGCTATAAAACTGTGCATACCCTTTGACCCAGCAACACCACTACAAGGTCTGTATCTCAAAGAGATCAAAGAAAAAGGAAAAAGACCTATACAAGCAAAAATATTTATAGCAGCTCTTTCTGTGGAAGCAAAGAGTTGGAAATTGATGGGATGCTCATCAATTAAGGAATGGCTGAACAAGCTGTGGTATGTGATTGAGATTAAGTACCACTGTGCCACAAGAAAAGACAAGGGTGGAGGGGTGGCTTCCAACTGACTCAGAGTGAAGGGAGAACAACCAGGAGATCATTGTGCACAGTAATAGCAATGTTGTGATGATGATCAACTGCAAGACTTGGCTGCTCTGATCCCTACAATGATCCAAGACCATTACAAATGACTCATGATGACAAAATGCCATCCATCACCTGAGAGAGAACTGATGAACTAAGTGCAAATTGAAGCTATCATTTTCTCACTTTTTTTCTTGCTTTTTTAAAAAATAGGGCTAATATGAAAATATGTTTTGCTTGCTTTCACATACAAAATTGATATCATATTGCTTGCCTTCTCAGCAGGAGTGGGGAGGTGGAGAATTTGGAACTTAAACTTTTTAATGAAAAGAATGTTAAAAATAAATAATTTTTAAAATAATTAAAACCTGATTTGAATAAATCTTGATAATTTCAAAACAAACAAAACCAAGCCTTTACTCTCACTTTAGACCTCTTTTCCTGAACTCTATGTCGGGCATTCGCTGAGACCTGACTCCTTCCAGAGAGTACTGGTAGCACTTCCTCTCTTTCACCTCCCTCTACCCCTAATCTGATCCCAGTGGTTTTATTTCCCACCGCCCAGTCCAGATGCTCCCTTTCATCAACACTCAACAACCTTAACGCCTTTGAGGTTCACTCTATACAATTTCTCACCCAATCTATACCTGCTGAACAGAGTTGAAGGAACTCACAAAACCATGCTGAGAAGAGTCTACTACAAATTTATGTGATCTAAACTCAGCTGAGCCCTCACTGAAACAAGGCAATCTTTCTATTTCTCCTTAATTAATTCTCTATCTCATTCACTATTATGGCTGTTCAAAACACTCTCTTCTCTCCATAAGCCCCCCCCCAGCATTTCCTCCCCTGACTCTCTCAGTTGAGGTCCTTGTTTCATACTTCACTGGAAAAATTCCTGCTTCAATCCAGTCTTTGATGATGCGGTCTTTTTCCTTGCCAAAATCATATTCTCTGATCCCAACCCCTCCCATGTTCTCCATCAGACTGCCCCCACTATCATCTCCTTTCTCCTTAATCTTCAATCTCTTCCTACCGAATGGCCACATAATCACCTCCATCCTTTAAAATAAATATAAAAAAAAATCCTCCCTAGATACTTCCATCCCTGTTGAATATCTTCCCATCTTTCTCCTCCCCTTCTCAGCTAAACTCCTTGAAAAAAAGTCTATGCTTGGTTACTTCTCCTTTTTCTCCTCTCACTTTTCTTAATTGTTGCAGATTTTATTCACCAGTAAACTTAAATATATTCATAATGCTTCATTGTTTTGAACTCTTTTTAAGATGCAAAACCCTACTGAAAGGGTTCCACCTAATCTCAGATTCAGATCCTTCCTCATCTTGACTAATCTGGAAATAATGAAATTCACAAGTCTTCTTGTCATATGCAACCACACAACACCATTCATGAAGACTGGTCTTAAGGTATTTCTTGGTAAGGTATTTTAAGTATTTTCTGGAGAACTGTTTCTCAGACATAACTGTGATCTTATTTTTTGAAAAGTTCAATATAAATAACATTTTCTAGTTTTCCAGGCTTTAAGAATTGTTGAAAATTCCAGAATCAAAAATTCCACCCTTTACTGTATGGTTAAGATCAAGGTTAAACTTAAAAGGCGATTTCTTAGTCTTTCCTCCTCCTCCTTCCAGCATCCTTCTCCTTTCTTTTCCTTCTCCCCATCTCCTTTCTCCTCTTCTTTTTTTTTTTTTTTGCAGTCCCATCTTGGACATAAAACATGAAGAAACGATTCTCAATCTTCTAAACCTCCTGCCATTTGGTTTCTGACCTCATCTTTATCATTTCTTCCTTTATCACATCTGTCAGGTAACTCCCCTTCTCTCCACTCACACGGTCATCACCCTAGTTCAGGTCCTTATTACTTCTCTCCAATGGACTATTTCAATAGATCCCTAATTGATCTCACTGCTTCAAGTCTCTCCCCAGTGTAATACAATTTTCACACAACTGCCAAAGTAATTTTCCTAAAGCAAAGGACATGTCCCTCCTCCTGTTCTATAGGCTTCCTATTACCTCTAAGATCAAAAACTGACTCCTCTGTCATTTGAAGTTCTTCACAACTATGCCCCTTTCTAACTTTCCAGTCTTCTTACATATTACTTGCCTCCATGTACCATACAGCGCAGCCATACTGTCCTAGTTGCTGTCCCCCAGGCCTCAAATGTTCTGTTTTCCTCATTTCTGCCTCTTAAAATTCCTAACTTTTTTCAAGACTTGGTTCAAATACTACCTTCTACAAAGAGAACTTTTCCAGCCCTCAGAGCAGCTGATATCTTTTCCACTAAAGTTACCTTCCAAAGACCTGATAACTATCTTGTGTGTGTAGATAGATAGATATATAGATATATATATATATATCTATATATCTATCTATCTATCTACACACACACATATATAGATATATATACCCACTTATATGCATGCTACCTACTTCTTTAGGAGGTAAGCTCCTAAAGGACTGAGTTTTTTACTTACATCCCAGTGCATACTAAGTGCTTAATAAAAATTTATTAGATGGATTTTTAATAGTCAGAATCACAATGCTTTGCTCAGAAAAGATACCTAACAAATGTGTACTGATCCTCTTTAATATGAAGCCAGAGATAATTCTGGAAATGATTTAATTTGGGAAAGTCTCTTGAGGATGAGTCTTCACTCAGTTTCACTCATTCTTCACTCACCAATCTCCCAAGTACCCAACTCAAGGATTTACATGTAGATTGACACATAATGACTATTTAGGTGAGTTGTAGAACTTAGAGCTGAGCAGGAAAGTAAAACTCTTGGGGTCCAACCACCTGAAACTTCTTTTCCAAAGAAGGACTCTGAAGCCTAGAGAAAATAAATGATTTGCCCACTGTCTCTTGGCTGAAAATAAATGTGAGGGGTAGGATGTGAACCCAGTTCTCCTTTATAACCATTAGATTTGAAGTCAGAAAAATGAAGATCTAGTGCCTGGTATATACTAACAGTTAAATAAATACCTGTTGACTGACAGCATTGGCTTAATTTTGTACAAGAAAGACGTTTCCTTCATTGTTTTTTCATTATCATACTCCAGAGCTGGATGGTGAAATGACTATAGTGCTGGACCTGGAGTCAGGAAGCATCCAAGCTCAAATCTTGTTTCCTGCAAATACCAGCTGTTTAACTCTGGACAATTCACTTATTTGACATCTTTCAGCCTTGGTTTCCTTGTTGTAAAATGAGGATAATAAACAGTACCTACCTCAAAAAGTTGTTGTGAGGATCAAATGAGATAACAGAATAAATCTGATAATTAAAATTATTACTTAGCATTTAAAATGTTTAATTCATTCTCCCTTATTTCCATGACAACCTTATATTGGGTGTATAAATGTTGTTATTAATAAGCTTAGTAGACTCAGCATAAATGCTGAGAAATTTTGAAATCATTTCCCGCATCACCTGCAAACCTTAAAGCACTATATAGATATTATTATTGACAATATTTATCACTTAGCATTTTAAATTTTGAACTCCCTCCTCCCAAGACAACCTTAAGTGCTATAAAATTATTAATAATACACTTATTAGGCTTGGAATTTCCGGTTTTGCAATCACGTCCCCGAATATTTGCAAAACTTAAAGTGCTATATAAATATTAACACATTTATTAGACTCAGAATTTTAAATCATGAAATCACTTCCCTGAACTTTTGCAAACTCTTGAGAGCTATATAAATATTAACAAAGTTATTATTCAGCATTTTAAATTGTGAAATAACTTCCCCAAACCTTTGCAAACCTTAAAGTGCTATAGAAATATTAATAAACTTAGACTCAGCATTTTAAATTTTGAGATTACTCCGCTACCCCCATGCTAACCGTACAGTGCTACATAAACATTAATAAATTAGACAGCGTTTTAAATTTTGAACTCACTCTACCCCCACCCTCTCTCCACCTTAAAGCGTTATGTAAATATTATTACTGATAGACTTAGATTCAGCATCTGAATTTTGAAATCACCGTTCTCTACTACCAACACATGCACAAAAGGACTTTTCTAATAAATGAGTTTATTTCATATTAAGTCGGGTTCAGCTTCTCCCGCCCTCTCCTCTGCTCCGACAGCACCCCACTCCGGGGCCCCGGAAACCCTTGCATTTCGGACGCTCATTTTCCCCGACGTACAGGCCAGGGTCGCGGTGGGGGGGCCTTGCAGCTGCTCCGGCCTAAGCGCCGAGTCGGGGGAGGGGAAGGACGGGTGCGGGAGCCGACGCCGCGGGAGGGAGCAGGCATGAGTCCAGTTTCCCTCCATCCCCACCCCAGCTGGACCCCACGGAAGAGTGAGGTGGCGGGACAGCGCGCGGGGATCTATGACCACTCACCCATTGGCCTTTTGGACTGAGAACCGGGACCAGCCAAAAGGCTGCACCAGCTAGGATGATTACATACGGGCCGCAGGAGCTCCCAAACCCGGTAACCGTGGCTACAGCTTAACTATAGCACCGCCCCCTGCCTCGGGGCGACCGCTTCCGGAACACTCACCCATTGGCCTTTCGGATGCCGGACCCGGATCTGCGGAAGGGCCACACCACCTGGGCGGTCACATCCGGGACATGGGAGCTCGCAGGGCTCCGCCTCCCGGTAACTGTGGCGACGGTAGATTAATGCCCCGCCCCCTGCCCCTGTCGACCAATAGTGGCAGCTCTTGTTTCCAAGGCCACGCCTCCCCGACCCCGCTGCCCATCCACACGCCTTCTCGGCCAGTTCCTGGGCAAAAGCCCCGCTGGATCGGTTCCTATGCTCGTTGGTTGGCAGCGTCTCCCATGGAGGTCCCGCGGGACAGCCGCCAGCTGCCCCCTCACGCCTCGGGCACCCCGGTGCTGTCGGTCGTGGACATGCACACGGGCGGGGAGCCCCTGCGGATCGTGCTGGCGGGGTGGCCCGAGGTGGGCGGCCCCACCGTGCTGGCTAAACGCCGCTACGTGCGGGAGCACCTGGACCCGCTGCGGCGGCGCCTCATGCTGGAGCCGCGCGGGCACCGGGACATGTACGGGGCGCTGCTGGTGCGCAGCGAGCTGCCCGACGCGCACGCGGGCGTCTTGTTCCTGCACAACGAGGGCTACAGCTCCATGTGCGGCCACGGCGTGCTGGCCCTGGGGCGCTTCGCGCTAGACTACGGGCTGGTGCCGCCGCCCCCGCCCAGTGTCCGCGAGGCCCAGGTCCGCCTGCACTGCCCCTGCGGCCTGGTCACCGCCTTCGTGGAGTGCGAGGGGGGCCGCAGCCGGGGGCCCGTTCGCTTCCACAGCGTCCCGGCCTTTGCCTTGGCCACAGGTAACCCCGAGCACCCCGCCCGCGCCCCTTGGGTTCAGGGGTCTGGGAAGGACACGTGTAACCTAGCAACCCTTCTGACGAAGACTGTGCCGCTGATTAAAATGCTTATTTTGATTAAAGTGTTAATCGAGCGTTCACTAATTGCAACCAACTCGGGGTCATGAGAAATTAATCAAATGTAATTATCCCATATGATACAGTAATTATATATTAATAATAAATAAACAACCGAAAATCACAAGGCTGGTTACGAGTATTCCCTGCAAGTTTGGGAAGACTATTGAGTTGTAACGTTGATATGGGTCAAGCCAACACGTTAAAAGAGGGGTTCTTAATTTGGGGTTCCTGGACTTGTTTTTTTAAATGCATGTTTTGACAATTTTCATTATAATATATCCTATACAATCATATATACGTTGTGTGTGTGTGTGTGTGTGTGTAGCAGCTTAGGTGGCACAGTGGATAGAGCGCAGGGCATGAAGCCAGGAATACTCATCTTCTGGATTTCAGATATGGCCTCAGACATAGTGTGACCTTGGGCAACAGGGCCTGGCAGCTCAGCAATAACAATAATAACATTTACATGGCAACTCCTATGTGCCAGATGCTTTACATTAGATCCTCTTGACAATCCTGGGAGACAGGTGCTATTAATACCCCATTTTACATATAAATAACTGAGGCAAAGGGGTTAAGTGCTTTGCCTAGGGTCATATAGCTAGGAAGTATCAGACTGGATGATTCCAGGCCAAAGTGCTTTTCTCTACTTATCAAGAATGTAAAGCAGTACCTTCTTGAGTTGTTTGAGTCTTTAGTGACACCATTTGAGGTTTTCTTGGCAGAGATACTGGAGTGGCCTTCAGGAGCTCGTTTTACAGATGAGGGAGGAAGTGGGGCAAACAGATTTTGGTAGTTGCCCTGGTTCACATAACTAGAGTCTGAGGCCAAATTTGAACTCTTCTAAGCCCAATTCTGTGTCCACTGCGCCACCTAGCTGCCTCTAATGTAATTGATTTCCTGTATAATCCTATATTTTATTTTATGTATTTAAAAAACACGCTCAGAAGGGGTGCATAAGCTTCACCAGACTGCCCAGGGAGTATGGTATGGTGACATAAAAAAGGGTTATAAGAACCTCAGCAATGCTTACAGAATACTGATAGTAAGAACAGTATAGCAGCTTGTCCCAGGACCATTCCTAACTGAACTTCATCGAAAAGATGAGATAATAGTTACCAGCAACAATAATAACCCCTTCAAAGTCCAACCAATCATCCATACCAATGAGAGGAGGAAAACGTAGAGGAAATTTGAACCTGGATAATGTACAGCAGCACCTGTGGGGTTTACAACACTTGAAATAAGGCCCTGACTAAGGGAGGAAAAAAAAGGTCTCCCAGGACAGGTCTGGAGAAGCAAAGCAGAGGGAATAGTTCCAGCCAGTAAAGAGTTTACAGTCTCTTGGAGAAAAAAATGCATTTGAAAAATTACAACCAAAATGGTATATGATTAAGTGGAGCATTCAGCTTTGTAGAAGTTCTGAAAGGGAGAAGTCACTGTAATCTTGAGTGAGTTGAGAAGACTTCATAAAGAAAACGGGACTTGAGCTGGGCCCTGAAAGATTTACCAGAGTATGGTAGGTAGGTAGGCAGGAATCAGAAGTGCAGAATGCCACATCTTTGTTGCACGGCAAAGTTGGAAGTGATCTACATGATATGTTCTGGGGGAAAGTGAGACCAACCTAACCAGAACAGAGGATACTTAATAGAAATGGTAGGTAAATAATGGTCCCCATCCCTTTGGAGCTTATTTTAGAGAATTTCCCATAAAAAAACCTATTTGAGAATTCAGACTTAAAAATAGACTGTTAGTCATTGGCCTGCCTTTTCAACTCAAGGAGCAGAAGGTAGGAGGAAATCTGACACCTAAAAAGTATCATGGAATTGTGAGGAAAGCAGTGCATGAATCTTCTGATATTGGATTAGGAGTTAGAAGATAGAGTTCTACTGGAAACTAAGGGGGTGCCCATCAGTTGGGGAATGCCTAAACGTTTTATCTATGTAATTAAATATTCTTGCACTATAAGAAATGAAAAAAGGGATGGTTTCAGAGAAACCTGGGAAACTGATGATGAATTAAGTAGGCGAACCAAGAGAACAATTTATACAATAACAGCAATGTTTAAAAAAAACAAACCTAAAAACTTAGACTTAAGAACTCTGATGAATGTATTGACCAACCATGATTCTTGTGTGGATAGCTTCCTTCCTAAGTTAACTATTTGCTTCTCCACTGTTCTGGTACAAATCAAAAGGGGGCAGTCCCCTTCGTAAATACAGATAGACCCAAAAGTAGCAATAAATTGTCCATTTAAGGCTTTAGAAGTCTTTTCTCATACAGCTGTCTGGTGTTCTGGACGTCATCCGGTGAAGTTTTCTGGTCTAAGTGCTGTTCAAACAGTGTCCAACAGATTGTCTTCTTGTAGAGATCCTCTTTCTTATGTCCACTCTCCTACAAGATTGATCTTAACACAATTGTTAAATTACCTTCCCAATAACCAGGGTAAATAATGAAAGTTAACTCAGCCCTTATAATTGTAAGGTCAATAATATATAAATCATTATATAAATCATAATATATAAAATTGTTAATTTCTATTACATTTATCTTGCATTAAAGAATATAATAAATTCAATATGTTAGCTTCAAAGTGAATTTTCGTTGATTCTTACTAGTTTCTGTGGGCCGTTTCTGACCTTTTTCCAAAATTAAGGCTGAGGCTTACCTTGTTTGGGTCGTATAGCCGCCTATGCATTGACTACCCTTGCTTTGAAAAAAAGTTACCAAAAATAAATGTAGCCCTATCTTTTGGTACTAGGATAATGTCATTTTAACCGACTTAATTATGAGATGATAATAGTGAAATATTCTGGAGGCAAACTTATTACGAGTGATGTTTGTTTTCTATATTTATACTGTGGTTTTTCTGTTAAGTTTCTTTCTGCTTGGATGCCCCTTCCTAGCAGGCTGCTTTCTCTTTGTGAGTCTAGGATGATATAGCAAAGCTGGCAGGGATTTCATAAATCATCAGAAATAACTCTCATTTTGCAAATGAGGAAACTGAGGCCTGGAACAACGAACTGACCTGTTGAAGTTTTAAAAGCCAGTAAGTGGTAGTTCTGAGATTAATAACATTACCTAATATTTACATAGCGCTTACTATGTACCAGGCACTATCCTACTGTGCTTTACGAAGATCTCATTTGATCTTTACAACTGCTATTATTATCCCCATGTTACAGATGAAACTGAGGTAAACACAGGTAGGTGCTTGTCTATATGCTAGGTCCAGTCTTGATGAGTTTCTCTTCCTTTGACCTCCTTTATCTCTGCAGCCTCTCATAGGTTATAGCAGCCTGAAAGTCAGAGATTCTACAACACCCACAGTCAGGATTCTTGTAGGAGGTAAGGTCAGTCTTTGTCCCCTCTACGTCAGAGGGATCTCTGTGTGAACACGGTGCGTGTTGAACAAATGCATGTGAAACTAAATTGAATTGAACTAGAACCTTTATATACTGCTAAACAAAGTGGGATTAGCCAACCCAGGTAAACTCAGGAACAAACCATTTTAAGGGGGAAAATGTTACACTTTGCAAATTCAGCAGGCTAGCTAGACTCTGCAGAAGTCCACTGGGTCTGAGCCTGTCCAGCAGCTAGCAGGGTGCAAGGGTTATCTGCTTCTACATTTGTTCCTTTTCAGTCTGCCAGTAATGGAAGCCACTCCTTCAAGTTTAAGAAATACTCAAATGAGTGATGAGGCAGCTCTATTTAGCCATTCCTGTTTTTTAAAATTGTACTGATATATGTAGACCTCAAATTTCATCTAGTCACAACCAAAGGAACTTATAATTCTGATTTGCATTTGAGTCATACTTTGAGAACTGATGAAGTAGAAACACTGCCTGTAAAACCAACCCTACCTATAACTTAGGCCACTTTCAATTTAAGCTACCGTTAGGAATAACTTCTATAGGAAAGACAAAGACTTTCGAGGTAGATGAGGCAAGCTTATTTATTATATGTTCTTGTGAGAAGCAGGTGTGCTGCTAGAGGTAGACACGCACTGCAGAAGCAAAGGCTAATGAAATTAATAAATTCAGAATATGATTTAGAAATACCAGTACATGGTCGTATCTGAACCTCATTTAAGTTAAAAATCTGAAAATAAACAGATACTGAAGGCCTTTGATACCACTTGGAACTTACTCGTTTTGAAAGAGAATTTCCAGTTTTATATTATTACCTTCTAAAGTGATGATTTTTTTTCCTGAACATCTGAAAAGAACAGCATTTTATTGTAAAAATACTGAATGCAAAATGTCTTTTTCTTAAATATTTTTAGATCTCGTGGTGCATGTTCCTGGCAAAGGGGACGTTGTAGTCGACATTGGATATGGTGGTGCATTTTATGCATTTGTTAATGCTGAAAGGTTTGGATTAGATGTCTGTTCTTCGAAGACGAGGGACCTTGTAGACGCAGCAACTGCAGTTACAGAAGCAGTTAAAGCACAGGTGGATAGCCTGTACCTTGGTAGCTTCCTTCAGACCTTCAAGAGTCTGTGATTTTTTTACTCTGGATATTCCTTCCACTCACACAGATCATAACCCCTTCATGCTTTAACTGGTGGTCTTTGTCAATTGTGGCCAAAAATTTCATGACCCTGTGGCTAACCTGGTAATTCAACTGTGCTAAATTCCTACCTTTTGATGCCTCGTTATGGTTTAAAGTTTGAGTTTTTGAAGGTTAAGACACTGGAGCTTAACTTCTGGCAGGTCTTACCAAAATGTAAAGGCTGAGCATGGAAGTAGTAGTGTCCTGTACATCTGTCATCCAAGGACCAGCCTTGTTAGAGAAGTTCATTATCAGACTTCCTGAAAAACACTTAAATAAGCAAAAGTGGTACTGAGAATGAGAAGCCTAATTTTTTTCTCATCCTAAAGATCATTGTAATGAAAATATTAAAAATTCCTTGTAGAAGATGGTAAGAAAGAATGAAAATTAATATGATCTCATTCTGTTTGTTGAATGTGTTTCTTCAAGTTATTATTAACCTTTCCTCAACGCTTATTTATTTACAATATGTGTGACACTTTGACCACATAGCCAAACAATCAATTTGGACCCCACTAAATCTGAAATTAATGATTTTTATACATAGTACTATATATGTGCTTTGCCCTTCCCTTGTCACTTGGAGCAGAAATTCAAAATCATTTAATGTAAATATAGTTAAATTTATTCTGTAATCTAATTTAGTGACTTTTCTAGTATAGGTAAAAAGGTATTTTATAATGTTGTTATTTAGTTATGTTCAACTATTCATGACCTCATTTGGGGTTTTCTTGGCAAAGATACTGGAGTGGTTTGCCATTTCCTTCTCCAGCTTCTTTTACAGATGAAGAACTGAGGCAAACAGGGTTAAGTGACTTGCCCAGGGTTACACAGCTAGGAAGTGTCTGAGGCTAGATTTGAAGTCAGGAAGAAAAGTCTTCCTGATTTTAGGCCCCTCACTCCATCCACTGCACCTCTCATCTGCCCTATATTATCTTATCAGTTCAGGAGTTGATTTATGTAAACAATTTTGGTAGTCTGATCAGCAGCAAACAAAAACACCAGGTTTAACACTGTATTCTTTATTAATAGACTAAAAGATTTTATCCTTCAATACCAGCAGAAATTTGCCATTGTACATTAAGACCCTAACTTTGAGTTAATCTATAAATAGAATAGAATCTGTAAATAGAATACATTTTTCTTTGCTTTGTTTTACAAGAATTTTATTAATTTTTTAGATTAAAGAATAACATAAAAGGCTAGTAGGGTAGTTCAATTATCTATACATATATTGACAATTCACTATTTTGTTCATATATGTATGTATTTGGCAAGGTAATGGTGTGAAGTGACTTACCCAGGGTCACACAGCTAGTAAGTGTAAAGTGTCTGAGGTCAAATTTGAACTCAGGTCCTTCTGACTCCAGGGTTGGTGCTTTATCCACTGTACCACCTAGCTGCCCCTTGAATGTAATATTTATTTATTTTTTTTTGTTTTGGTTAGGCAATGAGGTTAAGTGACTTGCTCAGGGTCACACAGCTAGTAAGTGTTGGGAATCTGAGGACAGATTTGAACTCAGGTCCTCTTGAATCCAGGGCGGATGCACTATCCGCTGCGCCACCTAGCTGCCCCTTTGAAATGTAATATTTAAAGAGTAAGAAATTACCCTAGATCTATTTCAAATGATGTTTCATAGAATTGTTAGGGTAATTCCCTGTGTGAGAATCATAGAGCCACTCTGAAGTTTTAATTTAATTTAACTTTATTTTGAGAATGCATCTCCCTAATTTTCTTAGGCTGGAAATACAGAAGTCTGTGACCCAGCCCCATTTGTGACCAGTACAGGTGCCCTGACCTGTTCCATTCCAGCCTGGGCCAGTTTGCCCCTCCTTAGGCAGGATGATAGGTCCCCCAAATGCCCTCCCTCAGGCACTCACCAGAAACTTCATCAGCTTAGCCCACTGCAGCTCAGAACTCCTGAGTTAAGCAGTCTACCAGGCTCAGCCTGAGTCTTCCCAGAAGCAGGAATGCTAGTTACAGACCGACAATTCTGGCTGAAGTATTTATTTTGCATCAGTTTTTCTGTCCCAGGTATTTAGTAATCTTACTGAGCTAGCAGCTGAACACAACTTTACGAGAGATCAATTTATCACAGCATTTTCCATAAGAGAAATAAGATAAAGGCATTCGTTTCTAATCAGAGGAACAACTCTTAAGTTTGAAGACCTGAATTTATAAATATCAAAAGAAGTAGGAAAAAATATGAAGAATTATTTAATGACTATACAGTAAGAACAAAGTGTCACATAGCAGAATTATTTTATAGATTTCAGAAATATTGGCACAGTAAAATAAAGTTGATAGGTTTATCAGTGAGAGAGGAAAAGCAAACGATCAAATAATATAACTGGTATAGTATTATTTGGAATTAAAGGAAGTGTGTCATAGTGGATAGAGGGCTGGACTCAAGAGTATGAAAGGCATGGGTTCAAGTCTTACCTCTTACACATACTGGCAATTAGAGGTGGCAGTGTGGTTGGAGAGCTAAGCCAGGAGTCAGGAAGACCCAAGTTAAAATTCACCCTCAGATGTTTAACTAACTGTGTGACCCTGGTCAAGTCACTTAATCTCTACCTGCCTCAATTTTGTCAACTATAAAATGAGGACAATAATAGCATTTACCTCCCAGGGTTGTTGTGAGGGTTAAATGAGATAATATCTGTAATGCACTTAGCACAGTGCCTGGCATTTGTAGGCTCTTAATAAATGCTGTTCTCTTCCCCTTTCCCTTAGAACGATCTTGGGCAAGTCACTTAACCACTGAATGTCCCCCAGACTCTAAATTGCAGAGAAATCTGTAGAGGAAATTTCCTCAGTTTTTGTAGAGGAAACTTTCTCAATTGTAAAAAGGAAATAATAATAGCATCTACCCTGCAGGGTTCTTACGAGGATCAAATGAGATAATAATTATAAAAATGCGTAGTGTAGTGCCTGGAATATAGTAAACTCTGTGTAAATCCGTCTCCATTCTCCTATGCCCCTCCCCATTACAAGTTCCCTCTATCAATGAAAGAACAAGTCCAGTCTAAAAAAAAATGGAGTAACAGGATTGTTTTGCACTCAATCAAACAACCCTTTCCCCCATGTTGACATACTTATTAGAGTGACACAATTTCACGTGCCTAGCACGGGGCCTTGGCCATAGCGGGCACTCAATAAAATGAAAAGTGGTATCTTTGAACACCTACATCTATATTATTTTGTAAAGATCCATTTGAATAAAAGCCATTTTACTACTTATCACATGTATTAGTAAATCTCTTTTATTTGCTTTCTCCCAGGTTAAAATTCATCATCCGGAGAGTGAAGAGCTTGCATTTCTCTATGGAACGATATTAACAGATGGAAAGGATGCTTTGAGTGCAGAGCCAACAGCCAACATCTGTGTGTTTGCAGATGCACAGGTATTGAAACAAAAAGCTTCTCTTGCAGGAAGCAGCTTCAGTGGAAACTACGCTTTGCGACCTGTTCAGGAAACACGGTATCAGATGAGTTCTATCATCAACTAGCCATGCTTTTTGTTATGGAGTCATGTTTTAGTCATGTCCAACTTTTCACGACCCCATTTGGGGTTTTCTTGGCAAAGATCCTGAAGTGGTTTGCCTTTTATTTCTCCAATCCATCCTACAGATGAAGAACTGAGGCAAACAGGGTTAAGTGACTTGCCCAGAGTCACACAGTTTGCCTTTTATTTCTCCAATCCATCCCACAGATGAAGAGTTGAGGCAGACAGGGTTAAGTGACTTGTCCAAGGTCATACAGCTAGTAAGTGTCTAAGGCCAGATTTGAACTCATGAGGAAGAGTCTTCCTAACTCCAGGATCAGGACTCTATCCACTGCACCACCTAGCTGCCCTCTAGCCATGCTATTCTTAATCTTTTTTGTACTATGGGTTATATACCTGTAAAATCAGGCTAATAATAATTGTCATATGTTTTATAAATTGAGATCATAGATACGGAAGCATTTTGGAAAGTCAGCACCATACAAATTCAAGCCATCTTCTGTTAATAATGTTAGCTTAATTCTGGGTCACATAATATAATATGTGACATACAATTCTTTTTTGTTCCTAAGAAAGATAATTTCTGCCTATTGATATTAGGTTTCAGGAGCTAGATGAGAGATGACATTTATGTTATGTTAAAAACATAGTATAGGGAGCAGCTAGGTGGCACAGTGGATAGAGCACCAGTTCTGGAGACAAGGAGGACCTGAGTTCAAATCCTGCCTCATACACATAATACTCAGTAGCTGTGTGACTCTGGGCAAGTCACTTAACCCCAATTGCCTCATAAAAAAACAAAAACAAAAAACATAGTATAAGTACTGTTGATTCCACCTCTACAACATCTCTCTCCTCTGTTCTTTTCTACCCACTCATGCAGCTTCTACCTTAATTAAGGCCCTCATCATCTCTCGACTGGACGATTGCAATAAGCCTCCTTGGCCTCTGATTTCTCCCCATTCAGGTCCAACCTCAAGACTTCTTCAGGTTCTTAAAGCCCAAGTCAGACAATCTCTCTTCCCTGTACTAGAAGTGCTAACGGCTCCCATTTGCCATTATTATGAAATATAAGCTCCTCTGGGTCTTTTGATATAAAGGCCTTTAAGGCCTTCATAATCTGACTTCAGACTACTTTTCCAAATCTATTGCACATTACTACCTTTTACACATTCTATATTCTAGCCAGACTGTTCTGCTGCTGCTCTCCGTAACTGACATTCCATCTCTGCCTATGTACCTTTGCACAGAAGATCTCCTAGGTGTGGAATATATTCTTGTGTCACTTTCACCTTGTAGAATCCCTAGCTTCCTTCAAGGCTCAAGTCAAGCCTCACTTCCTATGGGAAGCCTGCCTTGATTACCCCAGGTCTTAGTCCCACTCCATCCTCACCCTCATTGCCTGCTCAAGAATTTGTTTATCTATATTATAAAAATTATATACAAACATACCATTTATTCATATTTGTTTTATATCAATTATATACAAATATATAATTTACATTTGTTTTATATGTATTATTTCATATCATTTATCTACATTTTATTTCTATTACATTATATACAAGTATATAATTTATTTATATTTGTTTTAGCTGTATAAGCTATATACATTTACTTATCTGCATTCAACCTTCAAAAATATATAAATTCTTCTGAGGGCAAGGACTATTTTTGTCTCTTTACCCTAGTATGTGATGATGATGGTGATGATGATTACTGCTAGTATTTATATAACACTTTAAGTTAGAGGCAAGATGATATTTGGATCCTATAAGGTTATAGGGAAGATTTTTTAGAATTTAAAAATTTTTAGGATTTTTTAGAATTTGAAGGGAATGGGATCAAGGAGGCTAAAGAAGTACTAACCTTAGTGAAGAGTAGGTATACCTCTTCTGTGATGAATGGAAGAGAGAGTGATGATGCTAAGAAATCGTGGGGAATTGAAGATAACTGAGGGAAGTCATATTGGATACCCCAGGCTTCTCAGTGAAGCTTATAGGAATCTAGGTCATCTGCTTTAGATGTGGTTAAGTAGAGGGTGAAATTGAGGGCTAGAAGAGAAAAGATTTGGAACAATCACTCTGGAGAATGAGAGAGGGAGAGAATTGGGTTAGAATGGAAGCAGAGTAAAGGAGCAAAGAACTAGCTGAAATTAGGTCTAATAAATTTAGAGTGGGCAGCATCAGCTCAGTTTTGTGATGTGTTTCTCCAGTTATTTCCCAACTTCCCTGAAGTAAGAGCAGGGAAATTAGATGGTACAAATTATACAGGGACAAGTAGCAACAATTATTTATAAAAAAACAGAAGGGCAGAAAACTAAGATACCTAAATCGGATGAAAGCTAAAGAAACATTAAAATGGCAGTGCAAGGGGGCAAAGCCAAGCAGGAAGGCAAGTGAAGCTAGGGTGAAGAAAATGGGCCAGGAGAATGGGGCTGGGGGAAAGGATATGATAAAGGCAAAGAACAGTTTTCCTCAGAATGTACAAGAATAGAGTGCTGTATTTACTTAAAGGTAATGCAAATTGAAAGTATGCTCACGTTTTTTTGTTTGTTTTCTTTTTTAATCATCACAAGATACTTCTATATGTAGGAGTTACTCATAAAGAAATGTAGGCTACAGAGATTTTTTAAAATTTTTGCATTTTAATGGCTCCAATTGAAGAGATAATAAATAGAATGAAAACGAAATATAAAAGTACATTTATTTAGAAATTATGAAAATTAGATTATACCGTTGTAAACTCTATATTCTTTTCTTAGATCCTGAGATAAACAAAAAGGGGTTTACTATATGAACAGTAAACCGTGTCCTGTGGCCTACAGAAAAGAAATACATAATAGCTGTGAAAAGATAATTTGCTGCTTACCAAGAATGTTCCAGATTGCTTTTAGGATCCTGTCATGCCAAAAACCTGATTTTGAATTTTAAAAGTTAAAACATTCTAAAATAGATGAGGCACAATATAGGATAAATGGGTATGATGATTACATTTGTGAAGTATCTCATTTTTGTTTATTCCAACACAGGTTGACCGGAGCCCCACTGGTTCTGGAGTGACGGCTCGCATTGCCTTACAGTATCACAAGGGACTTATTCAGCTGAACCAGACCAGAACCTTTAAAAGTAGTGCAACGGGCTCACTGTTCACTGGCAAGCCAGTGAAGGTGATCAGAAAAATCATTCTAATCTTTTGTTGTCAAATGTATCACCATAAAAAGAGGAGACTTAAGTTGGGTGTCACATGCATTTCTTCACACAGTGCTGCCAAAATATTATATTACAAGATTATTATGATCTCAATTCAGTTAAGTTTCTTGTACATATCAGGATTGCCTCACCTTACATGAGAGATAGATTCTTAACAAGTTTAAGTAAATAGAATTTTTGTAAATTTCCTCCCTTCACATGTACTAGGAAAGCTGACTGAAGAAAACCTATAGGTAAGATATAGAGGTGTTCTGATCACACACCACCATGAGTATAAAAAAATTGAGAAAGTATCCCTAAGATATGCATATTTATTTATAAATTATATAATATAATATTATGTCATATATATTATAAAACATATGCAAAAATTGAGATATAAAGGATGACAATTTGAAATAAATTATTTTATATTTTAAATTAATAGCACAAAAATATTTTTGTTCTCACTTAAAATGTTGATAGAAAGTATTTTGATTGAATATGCTTTATTTGTTTGAAAATCATGGTTTAAGGGTATTGATACAGCAATCCAAAGGTCTGATTTTAAGGTCAGCTTACTCTACTCCTCAGTTTTAGTGGTAATTATATCTGAAAAAAAGTATCTCACAAAGACACAAAGATCCAAACGGAAGAAGTGTCTACTGGTTATAACTCAATTATTATACTCATTTTTCAATCCCTTCCACCAGTTATATAGAGGTTTTAGTTGAAATTTGACTGAGTAAATTTCTGTCTTTCCTTATGTCAGTCAGCTGTTTTTGCAAATGAATCAGAAGTTGTTGCATTTTAAGATTTTTTTTTAACAAATAGATTCCAAATCCATCGAAACTGCATTTGGAAGATTTTTAAACAAGTTAGAAAATTCTTTTTCTAAGTGGAGATATGAAAAGTTTTATAGGTGATGCCAATCATTTTGGGCAAGAAAAGCTTAGTTTTTTATTATCCTGCTAATCATATTGATTTCACACTATCACTAGCAGTTATCTCAAGACACAGCATAGTCAGAATAAGATTCATCATGAATGAGTGGACATAAATAACTACTTCAAATAATTTTAATATTTCAAATGTTTTGACCAACTTCTTGTAACTCATTCTTTTTACCTTTTAGCCAGTTGTCCATTTTATGTAAATCCATTTAATTCTACACATAAACACTACTTCCATCAGCCTTTCAGTGTTGCAGAGTTCCTATTCTTCCCTCATAATACTTTGAATGTATTATGTGATGTGTGACCATCTAACATGAGGTCCTAGTGAGGGCACCAGTGTCAAGCCATAGATTAAATATTAGTAAAGCTTATTTCCTTTTTTTTTAAACTAAAAATGAAAGGAAGTCCTAATGTTTTCTTTGTATACCCCGATGGATAATCTTAATTTTTTCCAGTTTTACAATGTATTTCATTTTTAATTTTGTTGTGCTCAGTCATGTCTGACTCTTTGTGACCCCATTTGAGATTTTCTTGACAAAGTTACTGGAGTAGTTTGCCATTTCCTTCTCCAGCTCATTTTACAGATGAGGAAACATTTAAACTCAGCTCTTCCTGACTCCGGGCTCAGTGTTCTATCTACTGTGCCACTGCATCTAGCTTCCCTTTATTTTAAAAAATCAATCTGTTACACCCGCTATACCCACTACATCCATTATACCTACTACACCTAACCCTGTTTTTAAAAAAAAGAAAAGAAAGAAAAAGAAAGTTGCCCAGTAAAGCAAAAAAACCCCAAATTCTCACATTAGTCATGTCTGAAAATCTCTATCACTTTCTGCATTTTAAGTTCATCACCTGTCAGGAGGTGAGTGTCTCATTTCATCTTCGTAGATAGTCTTTCTTACCCCCTCAGGTGTATACACTTCACTTTAGAGACTGGATGTAGAGCACTATAGTGTCAGGAGACTTGGACTGCCATCTTAGTTCTGTCATTATCAAGATGTGTGACCTTGAACAAGTGACTTTCCCATCTCCAGGTTTCTGTTTTCTCACCGACAGCCTGAGAGAAGAAAAGCCTCTCTTAGTGTTACCCGTGTTGTCTTCTGCTGCACTTTCTAGTTAAAGAGGGGGAAAGCTGATTCCTGAGATGTTTCCTTTTCCCAGGCTGTAAATGGCACTGGAGAGCAATCCTGTCATTCTCCAGTCAGTCAGCTTCCAGCCAAATAATGCCTCTCATGATGGATTGGCTGCCAGAAAAATCTGCGTTATCAGCTTTGATCGGCTCACATCCGCTCTTCTATCCCATCTTTTGTAAATAGCTCTTCTTCTTGTCTTTTCCGTCCCTGACTTCTCTGGGGCTCAGTTTTCTCTCCTGTTTCTGTCTTTCTCTGATCATCCCCTACTTCTCTAAATCTCCTCTACGTCTAGCTTCTAATGCCTCTCAGATCAGGGTCTTTTCATGGGGAGTGTCCTGTCTCTAGCTTATAAAATGAAACTCAAAAACCAACCTTTCCCTCAGCTATGACCCTAACAGCCCTTATTTTAATCATCCCATAGTCCCTAGTTATTTGATTTTTAGTTTCTGCTTTCAAAATTCTGAAAAGTCACATGCAGGTTCAAGTGATGGACCACAATGTGTTGCAGCCACACCACACCTCAGTCTGTGCTCTGTCTTCAAATGGGGGATGGGCAATTCTCTCAGTTCTTCAGGAGTGTCTCTCTTTGCTCAACGTTTTATCTGAGATGCTGTGTTTCTTCTAGAGCCGATTCAATCAGCTTTCCTTCCACAAATGTCCTTTTTTTCTGCCCCTTTCAACAACCAGAATGTCTACGTGCAAAAGGGGAAGTATCTTACATGAGAAAAAAAGACATTTTTCTTGGATTTCTTTCATTTATCAGATGTGATATTAGCTCAAGTTTTAGTGTGGCCAATACGATACCAGAAGAAAATTTTCGTTTTATAAAATGGAATGTTGTAGGTTGAACAAAACTATCTATCTTAAATTAAAGTACCATTCTTCGTTTTGTGTTAAGGGTGCAAGTTTTTTAAACAAGATAAAATATAAAGATCATTTTTATATTAAATTCCTTTCATTTTTCTCTTTTTAGGAAACCAAATGTGGTGAGTTCAAAGCAGTTGTAGTGGAAGTATCAGGACAAGCCTATTACACAGGTACAGCAAGCTTTATAATTGAAGAAGAGGACCCACTGAAAAATGGATTTCTTCTCAAATGACCTTATTCATGACCTTTACTGTCCCCTTTTAAAGCAACCATTATCCAAGAGCTAGTTGTCTTCATGTTCTATAGAAAAGTATGCCCTCTTATACATGTAGATTGTCATCCTATCTAACTAATCACATAATCCTCAATTATATAAAATCATGTTAACAAATAATAGATAACATAACTCTTTAGGGTTTGTAAATTACTTCTCATTTTATCTCATGGCAATATTATTTGTATGAACCAGTTTAGCTAGAAACATCTTTAATGTTCTAGTAAACCAAAATATGAAGGATGACAATCCAATTTTTCTTTTATAGTAGTGCTTAGCATAAATGATAATAAAAATTACCCATTTCAAATAGATTTGTAAGTTTTGGAGTTTTGAAGGTACAATCTTATCTTTCAATGTTGTGTTAAAGGGACCATTTGAATAAAAGACACTTTTTGAATGGTATATTCGTATTTAACTCTAACATGCTATACAAGGTCCTTAAGCATCATCTGACAATCACAACAATAAAAATTCAGTGCTGATTATGTGCCGGGACACTGCCCTAAGTGCTGGGAATATAAGAGAAGGAAGACCCATGGCCCCTGCCCTCAAGGATCTCAAATTCAAATAAGATTTTTTAGATATATATATATATATATATATATATATATTTACATACACACATATACACACATTCAAATAAGTTGTGTATTTACACATACATATACACATATGCATATATCTGACCAGCTTTACTATGTATATATTATCTATATATGCCTACACATGTGTGCACATATATATGTGTATATCTATATACATTTCATGTAGATATTATACACACATACATATCTGAACATCCCTATTAATTGTTTTATATCTCTCCTTCCCTTCGTGACTAAACTCTTGGAGAAAGCAATTGGCATTTCCTGTCACTTCCTTCTCTCACTTGCTTCTAAGCCCTCTACAGTTATGCTTCCAACCTCATCATTCAACGAAATTGCTCTCTCCAAAGTAACCAGTGATGTTTTGGTTGTCAGAGATATCCTTTCCTTAATTTTTATCCTTGTTTACCTCTGTGTTTTTTACATTGCTGATCATCCTTTTCTCCTGAATATTCTCACTTCTCAAGGGCTTCATTACAGTGCTTTTTCCTGGGTCTGGTTATGCTTCCCCTGTCTGACCTGTCTCAGTTTCCTTTGCTAGCTCTTGATCCAGGTCATGTCCACTAACCACAGGTGTTCCCTAATCACTCTGGCTTTCACTGATTGGCCACTGATAGGTCCCAACTTAAGCCTCACTTGATTATTGTTTGGGTTTTGATGGCTCAGAGTGAGTATAAATAGCAGTTGTTTCTGTTCTGGCCACAAATTCTGAGGATCTTCCCCTCCCAGATGGATTCTTTTATGCAAGCAAATTAGGCCATCTTTTGTTTCAATTCTTACTTAGCCTTTAATTGCTGAATGGGCATTGCCTCAGACAAACTGAGACCTGGGAAAGACCTTCGCTTAAAAAGACCAAGGTCTCTCACTGCATTTCAGGGCCATCAACAGTCATCTTGACCTATGCCTTGCCCCTGGACTCCAGTAACTCTGGAGGAGAGAGTGAGGCCGGTAACTTTGCACAGCCCTGCCTCCCTTAAATCCAGTTCACTTGCAAGTCAAGACATCACCTTGCTGATGTCATCGGTCCTCCTCGGGAATGAAGGATGAACGACAAGCAATCAATATATGTATGATATATGTGTGTATACATAATGTCCCTGTGGTTGTGTGTATTACATATATGATGTGGTAACCATGGATGCTCCCCAAGGCTATGAGTACATATGTGTGTGTATACACACATGTATGTATCTACATGCATTTTTTGTTATTCAGTCAATCAGCCTTGTCTAACTCTTCATGACCCCACTGACCAACTGTCCATGGGGTTTTCTTGGCAAAGGTAGTGAAGTAGATTGCCGTTCCCTTCTCCAGTGGATCTAGCGCCAGTCAGGCAATCAGACGTTAAGTGACTTGCCCAGGTCATACAGCTAGGAAGTGTCTGAGGCTGGATTTGAACTCAGGTCTTCCTGATGCCAGACCTAGTGCTCTATATCCACTGAGCCACCAGCCACCTCAAATATGAGCATACATGTACACATTTTTGTGTACATGGCATATGTGTGTGTGGCACATGTGTAGATTTTTGCATAGGTGTGATACATGTGTGTATTATATGTTACATATACATGTATGTGCCTTTGTGTGTGCATATATAGTACACTAACTTTATGTAGAATACACATGTGTGCATGCATACATGTATACATGCATACACACATACACATACATACATACATACATACATACATACATACATACATACATACATACATACACGGCATAAATGGAAGGTAATTTCAGAGGAAAAAAGGCAGGAATACTAAAGCCCAAAATTAACTGAGGCTGGCAAGAAAAACTAAGGGAAAAAATGATCTGACAGATGAATGTTTTATCAGTGGTGACGTCAAATACCTTTGCTTCCAAATTTGTTTATAAAAACATATCACTCCATCAATAAACTAGAAGGATTAAGGAAAGTGAGGTTCAGTTGGCCACCTGACTCTGTAATCAACATAAGTGAGCTAAGAGCTAACATTTATAGAATGTTTTTGAATTTGTGAAGCTCTTTACACATATTATTTTATTTTATTTTTTTTTTTGCTTTTTTGTGAGGCGATCGGGGTTACGTGACTTGCCCAGGGTCACACATATTTCATTTTATTTTTGTAGCAGCTCTGGGAGGTGTATGCTATTATTGCCTCCATTTTACAGATGAGCAAAAGTGAAGTTAAGTGATGCAGGGTCATATAGCTAGTAAGTGTCTGAGGCCACACATGAACTCACATTTTCTTGACTCAAGTCTTAATGCTGGTCTTCCAGTGCACTCTCATGGACAGACTGTGGAACTTAAAATATTCTTGTTTCAGATATCAGTTTGCCAAAAGCTTGAGGCCCTTCCTGCTCTCTCCCTCATGCCCTCCCTGGCTGCTTAATGACCACTCATGTAACATAATGTTCTTGGGGGCAGCGAGGTGGCGCAGTGGATAGAGCACCAGCCCTGGAGTCAGGAGGACCTGAGTTCAAATCCTGCCTCAGACACATCATACTCCAGCTGTGTGACTCTGGGCAAGTCACTTAACCCCAATTGCCTCACTTCAAAACAAAACAAAACAAAAAAACCCATAATGTTCTTGCATTCCTAAGACATAATCAAAAGGATAACAAGTTTATATAGTGCTTTATGGTTTATAAAGTGTGTTCTAGATGGCAAGATGAAGCAAAACCACATAATGCTACATGGTATTATTCCAATTTTATAGATGAGGAAACTGAGAAAATAAGGTAGTGCTTGGGCAAATCAGAATCTTTTTGTGGTGGAAAGGAACTGGAAATTAAGGGAGAGCCCATTAATTGAGGAATGGCCAGATTATGGTAGATGGATGGAATTAATACTATTGTTCCATAAGAAACGATGAAAAGGGAGATGGTGGAGCACAGACTGGGAACCAGCTGAATCCTCCCAACATTCCCCTCCAAACAACTTTAACCTAAGGTCTCAAATAAAACTTTGGAGCAGCAGAGGCAACAGAAAATCAGGGTGACATTTTTCCAGCTTAATATAACTTTAGGAGGTCTGCAGAAGAGGTCTGTCACACTGGGTGAGGCCAGGCCAGGTGGGTGGCCAAAGCACCAGCAGCAGGCTTTGGAGGCAGCCAAGACAGCAGCAGTGGCAGCAAGTTCTGGAGCTCTCAGCCCAGAGATGGAAAGCGAGTGGGGCAACTGGTCAGAAGGAGATTACAAGGGATCCTTTGCTGGCCCAGCTGGCACTGATTGGCAACTCTATTGCCCAGAAGTAGTTCTGGGTTACAGTTCAAGGACAGGGAGGAGCGCTTGCAATTGGTCAAAAGGTCCTGGGGGGTGGGGGGTGCCTGATCACAATTCAAAAGCCAAGAAGAACACTAGTACTTGCAGCTGCAGGAAAGGAGAAGAGAGCGCCTGGTCACAGTTCCAGGGCCAAAAGAAGGACTTCTACCTGAGGCTACAGCAGACCATGGGATCGGATCACAGAGCAGAGGGGAGCACTACTATTTACCCACCGTAGGGCAGCAGGGGCCCTTAGTAGATAAAGACCAGAGTGCAGACCAGGGAAGCAGTGACCCCACTTCTACCAAGATAATACTATCTTGGGAACATTGAAAACTTGCAGACCCCCAGAACTAACTCTGAAAAGAGCAGCACAAAAAGGCTGAAACTTGGCACAGTGCCTTCCCACCCCAGGTAAGCCAAGCCCAACGCTAAAATAAAGTTCAAAGTCAAGAAATAGGTTGGGAAATTTATCAAACGACATCAAAAAAAGAACTTGACCATTAAAAACTACCATGGTGTCAGGGAAGACCAAGACATAAACTTAGAACAACACAGCAATGTGAAAATAGCTACAAGCAAAGACTCAAGGAAAAATGCTAATTGGATACAAGTTCCTAGAAGAGTTAAAGAAAGAGATAAGAGTAGTAGAAGAAAAATTAGGGGGAAAAAATGAGAGTGATTCAACAAAATTATGGAAAAAATAATTAACAGCTTGGTAAAAGAGGCACAAAAACTACTGAAGAAAACACCTTAAAAGACAGAATTGGCCTAATAGTCACAAAAGTTCACTGGAGGAAATAACTCCTTGAAAATTAGAATTTGACAAATAGAAGCTAATGACTCCATGAGACTTCAAGAAACAATAAAACAAAGTCAAAAGAATGAAAAAATAAAAGAAAATGTGTGAAATATCTCATCAGGAATATAACTGACCTGGAAAATAGATCCAGGAGAGTTCATTTAAGAATTATTAGACTACCTGAAAGCCATGATCAAAAAAAGAACCTAGACAAAATATTTCAAGAAATTATTAGGAAAACTTCCCTGATGTCCTAGAACCAGAGGGTAAAATAGAACTTGAAAGAATCCACCAATCACCTACTGAAAGAGGTCCCAACATGAAAACTCCCAGGAATATTACAGCCAAATTTCAGAGTTCCAAGATCAAGGACAAAATATTGCAAGCAGCTTGAAAGAAACAATTCGAATATTGTGAAGCCACAGTCAGGATAACACAGGATTTAGCAGCTTCCATGTTAAAGGAATGGAGGACTTGGAATATGATATTCTGGAGGGCAAAGGATTACAATCAAGAATCACCTAACCAGCAAAACTGAGTATAATCCTTCAGGGAGAAAAATGGATATTTAATAGAATAGAGGACTTTCAAGCATTACTGATGAAAAGACCAGAACTGAACAAAAAAATTGATTTTCAAATACAAGACTCAAGAGAAGCATTAAGGGTGAACAGGAAAGAGAAATCATTAAGGACTCAATAAGGTTAAACTGTTTACATTCCTACATGGGAAGATGATACTTGCAATTA